AAAAAAAAAAAAAAAAAAAAAAGCCTGGAAAATCAATTCCCGCCATATAGGTGGGATTTGATTTTCTCACAAAAGCTGGAAATTGTCTACGTGGTTGGAAAAATGGAGAAAACCTATTCCTTAGAAAATAATGGTATAAAACATGCAAAAAATGGAACTTGGAATTGGAATTCCTAGTTTCATGAAAAACTTTGCTTCATCAAACACTGCCTAAGTTTCAAGTGTGCGGGGATGAATAGTAGGTGTTGATTAAGATAGTATTTATAAAGAATAATGCTATGGAGAACCATTGGTGCTACGGTATTAGTTTAGGTGATGGTAAGTGATAGATAATATGAGAGATAGAATTAAATGATTCATTTCATTATACATTTCATATAATGTCATATTAACGTCACTTAGATTGATGTTTTAACATCAATGATGTTAAACAATGTTACTAATTTATGAATGGATGCATGTAGAGGTGTGACTCAATGATTTGAAAGTTAGGGATGTGCAAGATTTGAATTCCATACGCTACGACTAGAGGTGCTCACTTTAGCGTAACTCCGAGATGTTGTACGGGTTTTCGGCCTCCAGTTTTAACGGTTTATAAGCCCGAATTAGACTCATTCGGCTTTTGTGGCAAGTGGATGATACTACAGTGCGTTTTTGCAAAATTCAAATGTAATCTTTGAAATCCATATAAAAATTTGGCAATAATATATATATATATATCACCACCATCGAAATTTGACTGATTGAAAGTAATCATACCGTTGAGGTTACAAATTGGAAGTTATTGTCACAATATACCAAAATTTTTGAAGGCAGTGGCCGCAAATAAAGGTGATAATGGCAAATTGAAAATGGTGATAATCTTGAAGTAGTTCTAAAGGGTTTCGACGTCACAATTGGTGGTGGCTAACATTGTATTGTTGTATATTCCTATTTTTGAATTTACGAAACAATATTAGAACTCAAATCGTGAATTGTTGTGACGAAAATTGAAAATCTCCATTGTCGATAAATTTTGATATTGAAAAGATTCATTGGCTTGTAAACTGTGAGTTGCTGTGAAGAAAATTGAAAGATCTATTGTTATTTGTGATATTGATCAAATGGCCCGTGACTATTTTATCGTTGATATGTGACATATTGATGTGGATCTGTAATCGATGCGTTATCACATGTGACTTGTAAACTATTACTTATGATATTAATCAAATGACTTGTGATCAGTTCTCTTGGATCCGTGACATATGATCTATACACTATGACTTGTGACCTGTAAACTGTCATCTACGATATTGATCCAATAGCCTATGATTAGTTCTCTTGGATCTATGATCTATGAACATTGATATGTTATCTTTGTAATATGACATGTGATCTGTGAACTATTATATGTGACCTGTAATATAGGAACTGTAACATGTAAACTTCAACATATGGTCTCTTGTTAGAGCACAAAGACATGTGACATCTGATCTGTGACCAAATATATTGATTTATAACATTGAGGTTGATTTCTGAAGTGTGAATATAAATCAATGGTCTAAGATTTGTTCTATTTGATTTGTGACCTATGACTGTACTTCAATTTAACCCCCAAGACCTAGTAATCGTTTAAAGTTAAATTAGAGAGCTTCAAAATATTCAGTATAGAAAATCGAAGTTAATCAACAATGGAGCCCAACTTTAAGCCCAACAAATGTTTCACATCTCAACTTTTGAGATCCTAAAAGAAATTAGCGAGTGTTTTATTGACTTTATTTTCACGAAAAATGTCTTTTTTTCCATCCAAATTCTCTTTTTTGGTGTGTTTAATTGACATTTTTCATGAAAAATATTTTTCCACTTTCGATGTGTGTTGATGACATTTTTATTCATGGAAAATATTTTTCAACTTTGGTTGTGTGATCATATTTTTCTAAAAAAAATAAAATGAAAATATTTTCTTTGGGGGAGATAGGTTTTTATTTTCCCGAAAATTCATTTATTCCCCCCCCCCGCCCCCCTTTCTCTTATCTACACTCCTCTCAACTATCCACCAATAACATTTGGACAAGTATAATGTTTAGATTGAAAAGATATCAGTCAAACACATTTATTAATTTCCATACAAATAAGTTTTAGGTTATTGAATTGTTTAAAATTTATTTTCTTTCTATACAAATTCTATACTCGCAATTAAATATACCCTTATTAGAAAAAAGTTGTTAGTTAAGAACATAATATATGAACAATAGTCCGAAAAAAAAGTTTTAAAAAATTGATTGAAACTTAGCCCTTGTGTAATGTGTACCCAAGACAAGTTAAACAATTCAAACCATTAGTCAAAATATACAATGAAACAGCTTAAATCGAGCACTTGAAAATCCTAAATCTATTTTAAACCCCGTCAAAATTAATCCCACAAAAAAAAAAAAAAAAACCCTCAAAAATTCAAGTAAATGGGACTGCATTTAAGAAATACTGAAACAAAATTGAAAAAAGAACTCCATTTTATCAAATAAGCAACCATTTATGCTGGGTCGATCGATTCCGTCGGATTGTGTACAGTGGTACCCAATTGATTCTGTTAGATTGTGGTATTTAGAAAAAAGATCGATAAGGAGAAGAGAAAAGATAGAAGGTAGATAGAGTGAGCGTGTTTAATAATATTATTATTAATATTAAAAAGTGGATTATGACATGATTTTTAAAATGCATTTTTGAATAACCTGCCCCTTTAATTTCCACTAAAAAGTTGTCTTGCATTTAACTTCAAGATGAAGATGGAGTTTTTAATTATCTTTTAATCAATATATTTTTATTAACTAATTTTTAATTCTAATTTCATTTATTTCGAATTAATTATGAATGTTCTACCTTTTAATTTTTCTAATTATTTTTTATTTTTAAAAATTATCTAGATTTTTGTAATTACTAGATTCTAGTTATTTCTTTAAGTTAGGGTTGTAACTAATCATGACAATTAGTTATTTTTGGAGTAAATATTATAAACTTTGAAGTTTTTCAATATCTTCAATTTTCGACATTTGATATATCAATGAGTTCAAATTTTCTGAATTTTTTTTTTTTTTTTTTTTTTTTTTTTGGAATCAACTTTGTTTTTTTTTGCTGAAATCTTATTTTTTGTAACTAGAAAGTGATCGTGATGCAATATTAGTTTGGAATCAATGAGTTTTGAGATAGAGTGTTTGTTATATAATTTAAACGCCTTCACCTATATCAGTTGGTACTGGAGCAAGGTCTATTTTTGAAATTTTGTTGTTTTACTAGGGTATGGGTTTACAGAATTCCTGCCGACACTCACAGCAGGACACTTGTATAAAAAATTATCCCAAAATCCATCCACCTCCCGTATTGTGAGTATTTGATAGGGTTCTGTGAACCCTTACCCTGTATCCCAAGCGCTTCTCTTATTCCTGATAGAGATGAGTTAGTGTTCGTAAAATTCAAATGCTAGAAGTTTTCGTTGGAACAATATGCCTTTTGCCCCTTTTAATGCAAATGCAGTATATCTGGTTGGCCCCCAGGGCACATCTCCAAGTGGTAAAAGGGGAGGGTGGAGAAATCCAGTTTTGCTTGAAACTGCTGCATCAAGGGTTCGAATCCTGAAATATGGATTTGGCTCTTGGGTAAGTGCAAGTGTACAAGCAGCCTTTAACCCTGTACCCTTGGAGGCATAACCTGCGATTTACCTCTCTCACGATACTCCAAGACAGGGACGGTGAGGGACCCTTAAGGTGGGGGTTCAACCTTTTTTCAGTGTATCTGGTTGGTATTGTGCAAGCACAAGTTCCAAGGGAAAAATAATTATTATATTTGGAGCTCGTTGTAAATAGTCCAACACAAGTCAATGAGAGAGAATAATTGTGGATATCAGCTTCCACATCCGCAATTCAAAATTAGGCTCCGTTTGATTCTCATTTTTCTCAAATTGCACTTTTAGTTAGTAATTCTTATTAAATAAATTCGAATTTTAATTTCGTTTATTTCAGATTAATTCTGAACATTAGGCCTTTTAAATTTCATTGTTGTCTTTTATTTTTACTAATTATCTAGATTTTAGTAGTTACTCGATTCTAGTTATTCTTTAAATAGAGGTTGTAATAAATCATGACAATCAATTATTTGGAATATATAATATAGACACAGAAATTCTCAAATCTCGTAAATTTTCGACGTTTAATATTAAAATCAACGAATTCAATTTTTTTTTGTA